ACTCAATAGCACATAACAACAACAACAACAAATGTAATTTCTTAAAATTCTACATTTTCATTCATTATATATGCACAGTATTGAGATTTAGTTATTGGAGCATTAATATTTTGAGACAGTGATTTAGTCTGCTCTTCTGTCCTCTGCAACCTCTGCCTTCATTTTTTCAAGAGAGATTTGGTATTTGTTTAAAGAATTAGATAACTATTGTATAAACATCTTCCAAAAATAGAGTATTTAGTTTCAAGAAGAATATACTGAAATAAACACCATGAATGTAAAAATTTTCAGTTGCTGGAAAAATATTGAGATCAGAATACATAAAGCTACAAACCCCACCTTTAAATATATAGTCAAATGGGAAGGACAAACATGAAAATAATTAGCAGTAAAACAGGCCAGAATGTTGAGTTGTACAAGACAAGAAAGGAAATGCTGTGTAGTCAGTGGGAGTTGAAGAGAGGAGGGGTTATTGCTCACTTGGATAGGGAAACTAGATGGCCAGTGGAGGGAATTTCTACCCAACTTGCTGACTGAAGAGTGAGATAGGTAGAAGGGAAAGTATGAAATGCAGAGGAGGTAGGCATCAAAGACATGTCTAGCCCTATGTCTCCACCCTGTAATTTGAAATAGCCCCCTACCTTCAGCTTGTGCTCAAGGAGTAGGAATAGACAGCCAGCTTTGTAACACATGATCTCATACCCTTAACTACAATTGACTGGTGAAGAACAAGGAATAGACACCCATGTTTGTGGCACATGATTCCATATTTGGAACCACAGCCAACTGGAGACCTTATCAGGGAGAAATTGTCAGGGTGGACTGAGCTACTCAGATTATTTTTCAGGAATTTGAACTATAAAATTCAGAGACTGTCAGTTAATGGTGCACACTTAAAGAATTATTTGGAACTGGTCCAGAGTCAATCTGAAGTTTAAAGACATTATAAATAAGCACAGAAAGCTGATATATAGAGCAAAGCAAGGAAACAAAGTAGGCTTGCAGAGCCAAGAGATGGGTCTGTGAGAGACAGGAGTGGCCTTGATTTCTGGCTTTGCAGTCCTGATCTTGAGGTATGCTGCTGTGCTTCATTTCCTGTCGCAGGATCTCAGTGATTTTTGCTGCTTTTATCCTTACAGTAAAACACCTTTTTTATAAACAGGCTTGAGTCAGTTTCTGTTCCTTGCAATTGAACAGCCTGACTTGGAAACGTAAGTATTGAGCCTTGTTGTTAGGTGCCGTCGAGTCATATCCGATGCACAGCAACCCTATGCACAGCAGAACAAAATACTGCCTGGTCCCACGCCAACTTCATGATCCTTGCTATACTTGAACCTATCGTTGCTGCCACTGTGTCAATCTATCTCATTGAGGGCCTTTCCCCTCTTTAGTTGACCCTCCACCTTACCAAGCATGACATCCTTCTTCAGTGAATGATGCCTTCTGACAACATGACCAAAGTAGG